ATTTATTGGCCTACAGTTGGCAGTTCATACAATTTCACTCAAGAGAGTACTTGCGAGCTTGCCACTCAGTTTATTGACCTATAATTTAGCAATTCATGCAATTTCACTCAAGAGAGTACTTGCGAGCTTGGCACCGAATTTATTGGCGTAAAGCTTGGTAAGTCAGGCACTTTTACTCAAGAGAGTAGTAGGGAGCTTGCCACTCAGTTTATTGGCCTATAATTTAGCAATTCATGCCTTTTTAGTCAAAAGAATAGTAGGGAGCTTGCCACCCAATTTATTGGCTTATGGTTTAGTAAGTCTGACACTTTCACTCAAGAGAGTAGTAGGGAGCTTGCCGCGGAATTTATCGGCTTATTTTTTGGCAAGTCAGACATAATTCATGGTTATACTAGTTGTAGAGGTATTCATTGTGAGCAATTTGCAAAAAAACTGGAGTTGTATAACTCTTAAGTAGGTTCATGGTGTCTAGTCACGTTAACTCTTTCAAGAGTTTTTTTAATTTTAAAGACGAATTCCCACTTCAACGCCTTAATTAAAAAGTTAAGTCATATCGTACGTACACCGGCCTAACGAACGGAGTAACGACCGACCGATGGGGATATATTTTGAAACACTCAGTTAGTCTTCGATGTGATTGATGCATTTAGACAGGCTTATACGAAACTTATTAAGAACTCACCAACAGTATTGTATACTTGTACTCTACCGAAATAAAATTTGTGTACCATTATATATGACAATTTTACACATATATGAGCGAAGAGCACAATCATTGTACCGTTTGAGAAAAAAAATCGAAATAAATAAAGTTACCCATGGAAAAAAACTTAGTGCTACATTTGATAGAGCTATGTCGACTGTCTATGGAAATACTGTTTTCCCGACACTTCGTGATATGTTTATGTGTCGTTCAGTTTTGAGGGAGAAATATTCCGAAAAATGTCGCTCTACACTTTTTTCCACAAAAATGTCGCTCGACATTTTCAAAGTAAAACTAAGTTTTCTGACGAACGAAAAAAGATCTTTGCTTGATTTTTTGGGACATTACTCTACTCCATAAGACTGAAAAATACACCAATTTTTGTTAAAAACGGATAAGGTTTTATTGCGTTATAGCAAGCACAAAATTTATAATGTCGCGCTGCATTCAGTGCGAAAATCGATTTTTTTGATTTTGATTGGGCCTTTTCGGCTTACACAGTAGATGAAGCTAATTTCTTTTTTTGCCGGATTGTTATGCTTCCAATTCTCTATCTTATCCACTAAAAGGACTTTTTTAAAGGTTCATCCATACGGAACAGCAAGGATTTTAATGTCGCCCTACAAAAAAATGTGAAGTGTCTTACCGAGTATTGATGACAATTTTCGTTCATAACAACTTAGTCTGAAACTAAAATAAATCACATATTCTGAAAGCTCTTGACCAGTTCTACAATTCTGACTTAAAAATAACTGAATAAAAACGGAAACTGACAGAAAAAAACAGATTTTCTTTCTGCAGGCGGCGCTAAAATCCAGGTTTTTGAGACTGTGGCTGCAGTTTCTTTGGAACTAAAAGAGATGGAGCCTTGGTTTTTTCACAAGTGAATGACCAAACATAGACAAATAGAACAAAAAAAAATTATCAAAATCGGTTCAGTGGAAGTTGATTTATAGCCGGTCCACTCTTTCGGATACAGCGATACAATGATTGTGCTCTTCGCTCATATATCCTCATACATCTGTTAACGGTGGCAATAAAAAGTATATATTTTCCTTATATTTACCTGTGATATTGACAGTCCTCTTTCTAAGAAAGTCAAATATATCTTTTTCTAAAATATAACTCAGCAGATAGTACTCTCAGGTTGTACTATCTGCTTTTTTGGGTTTTATAAACAAAGTAAAGGGTTCTGAAAAAATTTTTTTTAGCACTACTTTCTTAATGAGGAGTAGTTAGAATTTAGAGCCGTTTATGTCACAGCGTTACTGGTCTAAAAAGATTTTCTGGAAGCTTGAGTCTTTAACCAAAAATCTTCATTTTTATATTGAAATTAAAGTAAGACGAGCTGCGTCGAATGTAAGGGGGAAATAACCTCCAATTTTGCTGCACACATTTCGAAGTGTCTCTCACTTTGAGTGACACTTAGCGTCGCCTTAGCTATTTTTGAGTATCAGTTTATTTCATTGATTCTGAAGTTATCTGGAGCCAAATAGCGGTGTTTGGGTAGAATACGACATTTGCACAAGTGTGATTTTTATGCCGTAAAAAATAAAACTACCTAGAATACGATGCAAAGGTCTATAAGTATTTGCTTTTGAACGAAGCGACCAAGTCGAACACCAACAGGGTATACAATTAAACGTGATCCAATTACAAACAGAAAACAATAGAATCCACACTATTTCGAAAAAGCTAGTAATTATATTAATTCAAAGCTGTAATCTAGTAATTATATTATGTAAGTAATTATATGTAATTAATTATAGTAATTATGTAAGTAATTATATGTAATTAATTATAGTAATTATGTAAGTAATTATAGTAATTATGTAAGTAATTATAGTAATTATATGTATGTATTAATGTAAGCTAGTAATTATATTAGAAAGCTAACTTTCTAGCTCTTATAGTTTTCGAAAATTTTTTTGGCAAAATGCGATTTCGTAAGGGAAGCCGTGGACGTGGACTATATTCTACGCGTAGAATATGCTATGCGTATATTCTACGCGTATTATTATTATTATATATATTATACGTATTTTACTACGCGTATATTTTCTATATATTTTTCTACGCGTAGATATAGATCAATATCATTCTCTCTCCTTTCTTTTTCTCTTATTTTTACAGAAAGAGAAAATGCGGTGGTTGTACAGAACAGGAACATTTTCGTTTTCGGTAATCAATTACACAATCTAACACTATTATAAAGCTGAACTATATTCTATAGAAGATATAATCATGTACGGCTTTATATGCAAAAGTACACACGAATCTTTATTTCGTGTGACAGTAGTCATTCCCATGTTAGATTTTCAGAATAGTTACTCTTTAGAAAGACAAGAAGTTTCACAAACATCAAAACATAAAATACACGAATATCATGATAGAGTTATATCTTGTTTAATGATTCCAGGACATTATAAACCATAATGCTGCTTACAATGATATACCGCTCGGCCAATAAACATCATAACCAGCTCGCGCTCCATCAAGTCCATTTCTGAAACACAAACCATCCTCGTATACATGCACAGGAACTTACAAAAATTGCCAACACCTCACCTTCTTTCATGGTGTTTGCATCCATATCATTTTGCATAGTTTCCTGAATGTCTGAAAATCTAAATATCACCATGTCAAACAGTACATAATCACTAAATTTGTCTATTTCTTCTCCTTTTTTCTACCAATTACTGCGCTGTTGGTTTTTGAATATCTAGAATATTTAATCAAAAAAAACAGAAATATCTTCTGAAGTATAAAGTAAGAAATTAAGATACTACAGTAGTGTTTCCTGTAGGATAAGTACGTATTTCTCTTTTACGTATATATACGTTCTATATACATTCTATTCTTTACCGCAACAGCGACGGCTATCTGATTAAGAATCCTAACGCTTAAAGTACATTGACTTTAACCGTGCCTTACAATAAGAAAAAAGAAATTCAATTTATTTAAAGTTCTAAATTTCTGTACCACAGATTAGTTACTGGACTGAATGAAATAAAATCGCTTCCTTAACAGATTTCTTAGCTAGTCAATAGCCATCCGTTGTTTTCACATTTGTTTTCTCAAAATGGATGTGGAGAGCTGCTATTCTTATAATACGCGTTTTATAATAGGAAAAGTTCACTGTAAGCAAAATCATGACGTCGCAGTTCAAAGTATTTTCACGCAAATTGGTTTTCCTATGGAGACTATGGAGACGCGCGCGAATAATGGCCTGTTTTCATAACTTTTGAGAGTGACATTTTTTTATGATTGATCGCCATAACGGCGTCCAAAGAGACTCTATACGTCGTCTTTCAAGAAAGTGTCTCAAAATGGTTCTTTTTAAGAGAATAAAGAAGAAAAATAAAAGTATCGTTAAAATATATAATTACTGAAAATCTTAGCTCGTCGCGCGATACCTCAAATCTAGTAATCGCCTCCATCTGCTAGCTAAGAAAGCCATATGTTATGGTAGTCAGGCCACTGACTAGCTGTCATTCTACATTAGAATTCTTAATCCTAGTCACACATCTCGGTTAACATGTGCAGTCTTGTTGGATGCACGTAAGACTTGTAAATGCGTACAGTTGACTTGTAAATGCGTGCGGTTCTAATCCGTACGCACACAAATCTTTTTTTTGCATGTTTCTTGCCTCTTTTCTCTTATCTCCTTCCTCTCTATACTGCATACATATACGTCTTTTATCTTTACATCTACAGTAGATAGAAATAAAAATTTTCTTTATCGTTGTTCTCTCTTTTTCTAGTTATCGTTTCTCTATTTCTAGCAAAAGTCACACAATATCATAGATTTGAGAGATTTATTAGATTGCAGATAATAGCATCAAAATAATATTGCATTTCAGGCGACTTCATATGGACCAACTTGAAAAAACTTATTTCTGCAGTCAAACTTCAATTAAAGTAAAAGAATGCTTGAATACTATGTATGAATCAGATAACGATGTATGACTTAAAGATATATTGAGATATGATCTTCTACATGATGTAGATGTGATCCTCATATCTTGTATATCTATTACATCAAACTTCAATAATTCACAATGGATTCGATAAGGTCCATCATCAAGAGAAAGAGAGAAAACAAATGCACAGCGCTTCATGTCCATTCGTAGTGTGGCAGCCATTTTTCTCCTTTCTGTATCAAACCCTTGCGTGCGAGCGTTGAAATATCTCATTTGAGAAATATGTTGGACTAATAGAAGGATCTTAAGTAAATACTAAACGTGTGGACCACGACGAAATTTCTTTTTTTCTTTTTTAGATACTATACTACTTAATGGCTATGGTGAAGCATGTTCTACGAGAATTAGAAAGTTTGCTAAAGGATCCATTAGACTTTATTCGAACAATTGAACTTGATGATAATAATATTTTTCAATGGCGCGGGAAAATGATTGGCCCAGAAGATAGTCCATATCGTGGTGGATTATTTGAATTTGATCTTGATTTTCCAACCGAATTTCCATTTCGTCCTCCTTTATTTAAATTCACAACTAAAATATATCATCCGAATATTCATTACCATTATGGAACAGTTAGTTTAGATTTATCTAAGTTAAGATGCACTCCAAATCGGGTAGTTCGACCATTTTTAGAAGGTGTTTATTCATTATTAGTTTATCCAAATTTTGATACACCCATTGAACTAATAACAAGTACATTAAACAACTATGATATGAGAAAACATGAAGACCTAGCAAAACAATGGACTTGTCAATATGCGCTAGAAAACATTTCACAATCTCCATCAAGTGTCGAAAATGAAGAAAACATTTCACAATCTCCACCAAGTGTCGAAAATGAAGAAAACATTTCACAATCTCCACCAAGTGTCGAAAATGGAGGAAACATTTCACAATCTCCACCAAGTGTCGAAAATGGAGGAAACATTTCACAATCTCCACCAAGTGTTGAAAGTGGAATAGGTTAGTGTCAAGCAGAAAAGTAGTTTGAGGATAAAGGATCGCGCAGGTTTAATGGATTTCTCTGAGAAGCTGCTGCAAAATATTTCGTAACACGTTCCACTTCTTTAAGCTCTGAAGTCTGCGATTGCTGATAAATATCGAATAATCTCAATATTAAAGTTTTTTTGTTATTTAGTTGTTCAATATACTCCAACAGCCTCACCAACGACTTCTGAGAGTCTAGATAAAATTTCTCAGTCATGTACGCTTGTTTGGCTTGGTATAATTGATATAAATATTGAAAATTGTTTATTACCCAATAATGTTACTGCTAGACAAAAATTTAGTAAGCCTTGTCAATGCATCTCTTACATAACGTCGTTTCCGCAAGATAAATATTATTTGATTATGTCCGGTTTCTTTGATAAAAATGTGTTACCATTGATCCACAATCTACCACAAGTAGTATCTATTTATATTTATTGCGACTGGGAACGCGGATCAAAAGAAATGGAGTGGACTAATAACTATTCAAAATTTTCAGGTATTTTTGTCGATAAAGATAGTCTGTTTGATGCGTTAAACGAAGAGATTCACTCATTAGTAAGAACAGATGTTGAAATTACGTTAAAACCACCAGTCAAAAATTGTTTATCTGCTGCAACCGCATATCGTAATTTAGGATGTGCTTTGTTTCAAAAGCAAGATTATGATAGAGCATTGTTAAACTTTCAGAAAGCAAGTGAACTTATGTCGCACTCTGAGACGCTTGACCTAGCCAATACATTTAATAATATTGGCTGTGTATATGACAAAAAACTGAATCATGAAGAAGCATTAAAATATTATGAAAAAGCACTTGACCTTTCATTAAAAATATTGCCGACAGATGATCCTTCGATAATCGAATATTTAAATAATATTTCAGTCATAGTTAGGCGTCGATAGTCTTCGGGCAATCCATTCCTAACAGAAACTCGATTCTACTAACACTATCGATAAAGTATGCGTATTTTGTATTTTATTGCTGTATTTTTTTTTATGAAAAAGAAGAATATTGGTAATATTTTGAGTTTTGTCAGTTAGATGTTTAACTATACAACATCCTTTTCACCAAGATCTCAAGGCGTTCTCTGTTTTTTCACACGGTACTATCTATTTATTTCTTGAGTGCTATATGTGCTGTTGGAAGTTATTTTATAGCGTTATCGGTGTTTTTGTCATATTTTTTGGGCTGATCTGTAAGTCAAACTCTTGAATAAAAGTGAAAACAACAAATTTAGTCTTCCATGGGTGCCAAAAGACAGCATATATTAATAATAATTATTATTTAAAACTTGCGTAGCTTGCCTCTAATTACAGATCAACCTGCATTTCCACAGATAAGAAAGTATGAGCAAAATATGAGTATTTTCGAGTACTCCCTGTTCATGGAGTCATTAGTAGTACTTGTTTTAAAAATATGCAGTAAGAATACGCATGAGTATTCTACATTCTTTTTCATTCTACATTCTTTTTCATGGTAAGAGGAGGTGTCTAGTTACTTCTTTTTGTCACAGTATTAATTCTCTTATGAATAAAGTTAAACATCATAGTCCTCCTTCACCAGTAAGTACTTTTTTAAGCAAAAAATCTAAATCTGTCGAAAACACACCTGAAATGGATACAGCGGATAATAATGTGA